TTGTGTTAGTGATTCCCTGAATGACTTTTAGTATTTCTCTACTAATTATCACCTCCTTCACAAGATTATATTGACTTTCAAATACATAGTTCGTAATTAATATCGAGCTTGCATAGCATCCCTCGACCTCTCAGAAGGAAATCGAACCACATTAAAGTCACCTCCAATACACGTTGGGACTCCACCAAGCCATCATACTGGCCAATTCATCCCACAATCCCCCTCTACTACCATCAACAGTCGGACCATAAACTCCTACAAACATCCACCGGAATCCATCCCCAATATTCCTAAGTGAAAGCGATACGGTGAACAACCCTACACTAACCTCCTTCATATCGAACACTCTAGTATCCCACATGACAAGCACACCTCCTGAAGCCCCCGAAGACTCCAAAAATTGATATCCCACATGTTGTCCCCCCTCCCCCCAACAAACTACTAACCACAGCCCTCGAAACAAACTCCATCTTAGTTTCTTGTAAACAGACCAAGTCCGCCCTCCATCCCCTAATCAAATGTCGAATACCCCGCCTTTTCCCCTCATTATTAAGCCCCCTCACATTCCAGCTTATGATTTTTGGGATCATTTCAACACTCCGTCATCCTTCCCCAACATACCTATCTTGGAATCTCCACCCTTGATGTCATAATTAACTGACCATTCAAGGCGCTTAAGTTCACGGTCACCTTTTCTTCTTGATTTCCTTGTGTGTTCTTCTCCTGTCCTCTGTTAGTCTCTTCTCGGAGTTTATCTAGGTACTCAACGCGTTCATGTCCGTTACAGGACACACCCACCATTCTGCTGAACTCCTAAATTTTTTGAAGAACCCAATTCGAAGGTGAAAGCCCATCAGCAAAGATGTGTCCCTCCACTTCTTCCACTGGAATTACGCCACTGTCTATCTCTCCCTTCTTACCGTCGTCAACCTACACCACCAGGGCTTTTTCAGACCCTTGCTCCCCTCCTTGTAAAGGCTTCAAGCACCTCCTATTGTAAGTATTCAACACTCTATTGGCCAAACCCGTCTCCTCGTATTCTTCCACACCCTTACAAGCTGACCCCTCTGCCAATACACATCCCTTCTGATTCTCATCCGACACTAATCCCTCGTCGGATTCAAATGTATCCAAAGCATCCATAGTTATTGTCTCCAGATTAGCCATAATCGGCTCCCCTTCCTTAGGCCAACGTTCTGTCTCGTGAACTGCTTCAAAACCCGAGTCAACATCCTTAACCAACCCCGCTACCTCCACTCCATCTTCTTTAACTGAATACACCTGTTCCGTCCGAGCTGAGGCTCACGACGATTTAGAAACATTATCAACACGATGATTTAATAAAGCATGTCGGTAATTAGCGGGCAACATTCTAATGTCAATGGGAAGAGTGTGCAATTGAGTAATGGCCTTAGATAACAATGTGACAGGGAAACCTTAGAGTACGTAAACTCCGAGAATTAAAACAAAGTCAGCATGAAAGTCATGCAACATAGTAGGCACGACATCTAGGACATCTGAAATATTTGACTTCGATGGCATTGTAATGTAAGTTCTCAATTACATCAATATCAAGTGTATCGATTACAGATATGGTCACTATAGGGGACACAATACACTGTTCATAACTCGTGTAAATGAAGGAAAGCATTGCACTATAATCATCTAATCAAATCCCTAAAGATTTTATAACTCGTGACTAGTAAAGTTTCATCATTGTCAACACAGTTATCAAAAAGTCTATCCACCACACTATAGGCAATAGGAGAAACCTCTTTATGTTTGTTTTGAACACAATTCAAGAGAAGGGCAATCAAGTCTAGAGGAGTATTGTCACTTTCTTCCCATGTAAGGTTCATGATAGTCTCTAAGGATGTGAATACATTCCTTAAATGATTTCTTTTTAGAGCTACAAGAAAGTGTTGGAACATGTCAATCATCATACATTTACAATCCAAGTCCAACATGATAATGAAGTATTTCGCATTGGCCATAGTATCTAGTATCCTAACTGCTGTAGCATACAAATTGACGGACGTACCCGTGAGAGATGCAAATGTTGATATAATCTCTGATGCTCGGACTCTTCGAAATGGTCGGAGCACCCTTGTCAGACACGACATGCCATGACATGGGTATGAGATATGTGACATGGGTATGAGATATGTGTCGGATCCTCTAAGTTTCAACTGGACACTTCACCGTTTTTCCTTCTTTTTTTTCTTTTCCTTTTCCTTCCGTTTCTACTCTCTATAAACTTAGCGCCGCCTTCGAGAGGGTGGCGAAAGGCGATAGTGCTAGATTTTCCCTTCTCTTTTTTCTTTCCCTTCTTTCCCTCTCTGTATCAATGGTTTAGGGTTTTGTTTGTATAAAATGAAAATGAGTTTCATATAGTGCTACTTCCACTAAGTCCAAATTGCAATCAAGTCCCTCATTTTTTATTTTATATAACATTTAGTAATTAACTTCCCATAATTGAAAACTAAATCCCAAAATCTTATTTTTTTCGTTTTAGCCCCTTATTCAATACGCATTTCCTTCTTTGTGAACAATTGATATTGATCTATTCAAAATGACATCTTGAATTAGTAAAAAAATTGAAACTTGAAAGACGTACCCACGTACCCGTGTTTGAAATTTAGACTTTTTTTTTGCTATATTCTAGTATCCTAGATTTTAGAAAATAAAATATTCGACTTTTAGATACGTACCCGTACCCGATACCCATGCCTGAGTCCGAGCATCATAGGATATAATCAAGAAAAAGATACCTTGCACTATTTCATCACAAAAAGGGTGATCAGGTGTCGTAATGCGGAATATTTCACTAAGGTATAAAACTACTGCTACTTGTATAGCAAAAGCTGGATGTTTTAATAGTTTATTTGAGACAAATGATGTGCTAAGTGTATTAATAGATGTGAGGATGGAAACAAGTAATTGGTCCACTTGTGAAAGTAAATACTTAAGAGTGTTCGACTAACGATAAGAGTTCATTAAAAGGCAACAAAGATTGAAGAAGTTTTCTTCCATTTGTCTACAAGTGAAATCTTAATGTTTGATGTTCACGCCATAACATTTTTATTCTAAAATTGACAAGCCAAAACACTAAAATAAAAGAATATTTTCAACATAATAAAATTGTTACCTCACGAGACTCGAAAAGATTCAAACAATGCCCAATCATGAATTTCAGGCTAGGCACGGTTACGGTGACAAAGCGGCAATTGGATCGTCTGAGTGGCTATGTCAATCAACAAGAATAAAAAGGTCATCTGCAAATAATGTCAGAATTTTTTAATTTTTTTTTCACTTTTTTTGGTTTTGTTTTTCAATTGAAAGTTGAGGGTTCAAATCAAACATGAAGACCATCGAGAAGCAGCTTAAAATAGAGGCATCTATCAAATAGAATAGAGCAGAACCCAAAAGGCAGTCTGCTTAACCCCCAAAATGTTAAAAGCCGTGTTTTTTCCTCTCAAATGCAATAGTGAAACTGGTGGGAAGCTGGGCGTTGGTGGTGAATGGTGTGGATGTGGTCGCCGATGATAAGTGGTGTATGGGAGATGTGTGGCGAGCGACGTGGCGGCAGTTTGTAGCTGAGTTGGGAAGGTGATGGTCGAATGAAGATGGATTATATGCCAAAAGAACATATACCCCAGGAGGCAAATATTGGTGTGACTGGCGACGGTGGATTGGTGCAGGTTGAGTTATGACGTGTCGATTGTGGTTGAGGGTTTCTGGTGCGAGACAGCGAGAGGCAGGATGTGGGCCTGTTGGGTTGTAATTGGGCTGGATCTGCTGGGTTTGGATATTTTGCTTTTTGGGCTTGGGTAGTGGGCCTGATGAATTTAGGATTAGTTTGGTGGATTGGGCAAATAGGCCAGTTTAGGGTTTTTGGGTGAAACTATGAGCAGTCTGAAGACTACATGGATGGGATTCTGAAACTCAAGCTGACTGCAACTTTGATGGTGGTTGGAACACACTGAGATTTCTCCTTTTGTGGAGTTGCAGGGGAACTTACGTTTGATTCAAGAGATTTAGTTTCCTTCGCAGAATCAGAATTTTGTAGAGAATGACAATTTGCTGGAGGTAATTTTCAGGTGTTATGGGTTTTGCAGCAGATTCGTTGTGTATATGGACTGAGTGAGTAGAAGTATTACCCAAAGTTTAGCTGTGATACCAAATTTGATGTAGGATTAATTGAAATAACCAACAGAAGAGCATCAGCGGAGAAGAAGATCAGCAACAGAGGAAGAATTCCTGCGAGAAGAAGAGCAGAAGAAGCAGAAAACAGCAGGAGAAGAATAGGAGAGGAGGAAACCGGAGGGCGTGGGAAGAGAGAAGACGGGGGAGTGGAAACGTGGGCAACCATTCATTCATTCATTCCTCAACTGTCTTTGGAAATTCAATACAAGCATATAAATTACAAAACATAAACCTAATAGTTAAGGGACTTGGGATGGCCTACGATCGTTTGGGTCGATTTTCGTTTTCTAAAATAGTCCAAAACAATAAAGTGGCCAAACAGGATGATGTCCTCATCAGCCAATTCCTGAAATTACAATTTTGAGCGATCTTCCAAATAATAAATCCTTCCCTGCTATACTTGGAGTGTCCTCTTTCATTTTGTTGATGGGAATGTACGTTAATGTTCTATGAATAAAATAAAGTGAAGACTATATTATTGCAAGATGATATGATTAATTCTTCCAAAGAAATGAATAATATGAGAAAAGGTTTGTAGAATGTGAACAAAAAATTAACCAAATGTGTTCTTAAAAGTCACTTTTCTATGCTTTCTTTAGTGTTGAAACCATTGTTGAAAAATAAAAGATCATTCTGATCATAACCATTTCACAGCTCGCACTTTGCTTTCTATCCTATTAAATATTCATTGTTGTGTCCTTTAACGTCTGCCTTGTTTATGGATTTATCAAATTTACAATGTCATTATTGATTTGTTTCTTAGATCTGATATTGGGTGCTGTTTAATTTACCAGGGTTGGGGATGCTGGAATTATAGCAATTGCTAGAGCTTGCCCACAACTCAGTTTTCTGGATGTAACAGATGCAAAGGTGTGTGGTCTCTGTTTCTGTCTTGTGTTTATTTATATATATACATGCATTAACTTGGTACTGTAGTAAAATATTTTTTCAGTTGCTGGAATAGTAGTTTTTCATTTTTTTCACATGCAAACATGTCTCTATATGCTTCTGTTATTTTGACATGTATTGATTAATAGTGGAATCCTTTAGTGGAATGTTTAGTCATGTGGATTGACACAACTCAATAGTATCAAAGAAAGAAAAGAAGTTGTATCTTGTACATCCAAGATGCAACCTCCGACCTTTCTTTGTCTGGAGTTCAGAGTAATTCGAAGGTAACGTTTGGTCTTAACATTATGAAATTGTGAGTGCATCCACCATAATTTGGGTATATCATGAAATTTGGAATATTGAGATTTTCTAGACAAGGATTGAAGATCTGCATTTCCTTAGAAGCAGGCCCTTGCATTATTACACTTGTGTTAAAAACTGACCGTTTTAGTGCTGGTTGACCAGGTTTCAACCTAGTTTTGTAACATCTGGTCTTCAGCAATGACCAGACCTGATATTGTGCTGGTTACTGGTGGTTACTGGCTTTCCTGATTCAACCAGCGGTGTCTTCCAACGCTGGTTATTTTGGGATCTGATGGAACATTGAAAGCTGTTTATTTTATTAACATCAGTGGAGCTATTTATGCATGCCGAATTGATATAACTTTTAGGACTTGCAATGCACTGCATTAGTCTTTACTCATCTGTTGCTTTCCATTTGTACAGAAGCTGGGGGACGAAGGTATGGCGGCAATAGGTGAAGGCTGCCCATTACTTAAGGATTTGAAGATATCAGGCTGTCAACAAATAACAGATATGGGCCTCAGCTATATAAGTAGGAACTGCAAGTTATTAGAATCCTGCAACATGATGGGCTGCAATGGGATTTCAATTACCGGAGTTGCAACCTTTATCAACAGTTGTCCAAAAATAAGGAGCGTATCAATTGAGAAGTTCAAGTTTAGCCAAAGGACTGAAAGTCGAGTTCGTCAACGGAAGATTAGCCTATGGACCAAACTTCGAGTCCGTCAAAGGAAGTTCAGCTCAAGGACCAAGCCTCGAGGTCATCCTCTCTTGCCTTGGGTTTGACCTATGAATCGTTGAATCCAAGAACCTAGATGCAAGAGAGATACATGCTTACCTGATGGTGAATAAAATATAGTTCTTCGCTCAATATATGGATAATATAGAGGAAGATGTACAGCGTTGCCTCTTATTTTCACAAACTGGATTTTAACGCGTGATTTGCTGTTTTTGTAATTACTTTTTATGGTTTAAATATTTATATAATTATAGTTCAGATTAAAATATAAAAACTTGCTAAAAAAACACACGGCATGATGTGCATGCATCATGTATTCCTATCCAAAACACCGTAAACATAAATTTGTCTCGTATATAATACGAGGAAACAATTGGATTGCAATGTTATATTGCGACAGCAGAATGGATTTTTTGGAAACAGAATAAAGTTGAAAACTTCGTGTATTGATGATTTTAAAAGTGTGCAAAGCCTTTGAATTAATTTCTTAATCCTAATGACAATCAATTGAGATTTTAGGAGAAGTAAAAGAAAAAAATATTTTTTTTAAAACAAGAAAGAAAGAAATTATATTGTTAAAAAAAAAAGAGAAAATTCTATAGAAAATAAGATATCTTATTTGGAATTGGATTGTCTCATTTCATTCTTCCTCCACTTTAAAAAAGTTGTTGTCGAGTTAGATTGAAGAAGAGAATTAATTGATCACAAAGAAAAATCTTCAAGATTTCTATGTTATGGATCCCAGCTTGAACTCAAAAGAAAAATCTCAAGCCACCTGTTGCCCATGTTCTGGATTTGTTGAAATGATGAATATTCAGGGTAGTCAAAATCTGCTAACGAAACTCTCATTCTTTGTGTCATTTTTCGATTATAAGCAACAACAGCAACAATCAATATATAATAATCAAGATCACAATCAAAGCATAATTCAACAAATCAACTACTTATCATATCTATTTCAATTATATATATAAAAATAAAAAATTTGAAAAAATAGAAGAGCTCGAAGAAAACAAAATCTCATAATTATAAGCAATAATACGATTGAGTGAAACTTTGATGTAGTACATCACAACCACAATTAATAGTTTCACTTTATCTAGGAGTTTGTCTTTTTTAAATTATCTTTTCTAATTTCCTTTTCTAGTTGTAATAAGTTTATTCTTAAATCTTGTTTAGATTATGATTAGTTTATTTCCTTTTAGAATTTAGTTTCCTTATTTTAGTTTCCTTTTATTAATAGGATTAGTGATAATTTTGCTTATAAATNGGATAATTTGACCTATAAATATAGGGGTATTGTACGCTTTTTAATCAATCAATCATATATCAATACAAAGCAAGATTATTCCAATATAATTCTTATTTTCAATTCTTATTACAAGAATTTCTAAACGCTTTCGCACCAAAATTGGTATCAGGGCAAGGAAATTGCCTCAATCTGATGGCTGACTACGGTCTCGGTGGCAGTCGAACCGTCGACGACGAACGATGGCTCGACAAACTCGAACAACGAATTGAGGGGATCGATGAAACCCTTCACAACATCACTCAGATGTTGACTGCGTTAAGTTTTGAAAGGAATTACGAGCCCATGGAGAAGCAAGCTGAAAATAATTTGCAAACCTTAACTGCTATTAATGTTGGTTGTTTCAACAAGCATAGAACACGGCAACATGTGGTTAGAGAATTTCTTCAAGTCCCGGCAAAATTTGAATACACACAAGTTATCAAGGATTCTAAGGAAATCTATCGAGAAAATATAAAAGAGTCCAATTTGAAATGTAACAAAATTTTTAAAACACGATACACCATTAACAACAAAGTATGCAAAGTGATAATAAATCATAAGAACAGTCAGAACTTGGTGTCCAAAGCATTGGTGAAAGCTTTAAATTTGAAAACTGAAAAATACTCAACTTATTATCAAATTTCACAGGGCAAGAAATTCAAAATATGGAGGTATATAAAATTTCACTTTCTCTTGGAAAGTACTACATGAATGTTGGTTGTTTCAACAAGCATGGAACACAGCAACATGTGGCTAGAGAATTTCTTCAAGTCCCGGCTAAATTTGAATACACACAAGTTATCAAGAATTCTAAGGAAATCTATTGAGAAAATATAAGAGTCCAATTTGAAACGTAACAAAATTTTTAAAACACGATGCACCATTAACAACAAAGTATGTAAAGTGATAATAAATCATAAGAATAGTCAGAACTTGGTGTCCAAAGCATTGGTGAAAGTTTTAAATTTAAAAACTGAAAAATACTCATTTTATTATCAAACTTCACAAGGGCAAGAAATTCAAAATATGGAGGTATGTAAAATTCTACTTTCTTTGGAAAGTACTAAAAATCTGAGATTATATGTAACGTGGCAGAGATGGACAATTGTCATGTACTTTGGGGACAACCATGGTACTATGATGTAGATGCTACTTACATAGGTCGAGATAATAGATATGTGTTTAGGTGGTACGATAAAAAGATTGTTTTGGTGTTATGTGATAAGCAATTTATGAATGGCGAAGAGAAAAAGGCTTATAAGGTAAATGATGAGGCTGAAAATGAAGTAATTCATAATCAAGATGTTACTAACCATGGTACTAAAACAGAAAAAGAAAAGCACGTACAAGTTGAAAATTCGAGACCCGTTGATTCTTTGTGTATGGAAACTACAATTGAAAATTTCAAGATCGAGCCGCACTCCAAGGATGAACAAGTTGAAGTCAGAAGTGTCCCACAGGAAATGAAGAAATTAAATTTTGCAATCAAAGGTAAAGATTGTCAAATTAAGAATAAAAAATTTGTTGACCTTTTCTACAGCTTTAATGTCAAAGAATTGCATAAAAAGAAGGAAAACATGGACGATGAGGATTTGAGTCCGCGTACCAATTCTTTTGTGTTGAAAAAAGCATCTCTAAATATTACAACAAAAGGTGAGAAGTACGAAGAATTGAAAATAGCACAAGTGACCTCTATCGAGAGCGAACTCAATGACGAAAAATCAAATCATGCTTCGTTTATGAAGGAATGTCATTTGCAAAATATTCGTGAAGAAAATATAACAAGTATGACAGGAACAAAGTTGACTTTGAAGAATGCAACTGAAGAATATAATGACGTTTATCGAGCACATCAAGAAATTGTCATTTTTTCAATATCGATATTTGCAGAAATTTTTGAGTATTTTCCTTCCGATTGATTGATTTTTTCTTCAAGAAAACTCGAGGACGGGTTTTATTCAAATGGAGGTGATTGATGTAGTACATCACAACCACAATTAATAGTTTCACTTTATTTAGGAGTTTGTCTTTTTTAAATTATCTTTTTTAATTTCCTTTTCTAGTTGTAATATGTTTATTCCTAAATCTTATTTAGATTAGGATTAGTTTATTTCCTTTTAGAATTTAGTTTCCTTATTTTAGTTTCCTTTTATTAATAGGATTATGGATAATTTTGCCTATAAATATAGGGGTATTGTACACTTTTTAATCAATCAATCATATATCAATACAAAACAAGATTATTCCAATATAATTCTTATTACAAGAATTTCTAAACGCTTCCGCACCAAACTTGAACTCTTTATCATTTAAAATTTCGAATATATTGATGATGAGTGCCCTAATGTTGCACGAGTTGAGTGACCGTACAGGGACTCAACATTGTAGGGGCATCAAAAGAAATTTTGTTATAGGTGTATATACATGTATAATTATAAATTTTTATATTTTTATTATTATGTTATTAAAGGCAATATTTATGAAAAAAGAGAAAAAATTGTATTGCATTAATATTTTTTAATTTAACATATCATTGAAAATTTTATTTATTTTTTCTGATTTTACACTATTTTA